CCAACCTCCCAGGGAACGATTCCTCCCCAGATCCCCCTGGCAGCGGGACCGTACCGAGGTGTGCCGGCGCAGGGTGGATTTGTCGGTGAAGGTCCGGCCGCAGGCGTTGCACATGAAGGGCTTCTCGCCGGTGTGGATGCGGTGGTGCCGCTGCAGCGCGTTCAGCTGCGTGAACTGCTTCCCGCACTGGTCACAGCAGTACGGCCGCTCCCCTGGGAATGCGGCATGGGACACAGGCTGGGAACGCGGGCACAGCACAGCTGCCGTGCTTCGGGAGTGCCCAGCGACCCCTGGCTGGCAGGGAGCGGTCAGGGAAAACATCCTGGCGTACAAATTGCCACCCCTCTGGAGGCAGCAACTCCTCCCAGCCCGTAAAGATGTGCTGCCACTCTGGTTTTCCATGGGTTTTCCATCAGAGACTCAAGTCCTGCCCAGAATCCAAGTATTCCTCCCCCTCGTTCACTCTTCTCTGAGCAAGAACCCCTGAGCCCCTCCCAGCTCCGGGATCACTCTGAACACACCACAGACTCCCTGTTTGGAGAGAGATCCCATTTTCCTCCTCCCCTGGATAAACCTTCAGAGCTATACCAGAGCTCTCCGTCACCAATGATCCTGGCAGGTTATTAAAGTATCTCCACAGCCTGTGGAAGCATTCCAGGGAATTGCTGTCACTCAGGACTAGTGGGAGAAGGGGAGAACATGAGACATCAAGCAGTGCACATGGGGAAAAACCTGGCTGAGAATTCCTTGCTGGAATCTTGCAGTGGTGAGAGATGTGCATCCAAGGAAAGGAGCACATCCTACCTGTGTATCCAAGAAAAGGGACACATCCTACCTGTGTGGACTTTGATGTGCTGGTACAGGGAATTCCTCTGGGCAAAGGTCCGGAAGCAAACCTCACATTTGAAGGGCTTGGATCCCGTGTGGATCCGGTTGTGGTGTTTCAAGTATTCCTTGGAGGCAAAGCTCTTCCCACAGGTTTCACACATGAAAGGCCTTTCCCCTAAAAAAGGGGGGAAAAGGAGGATTAAACCAGCAGAGCTTTGGGAATGCTCTTAAATATCCCACAGAAATTGTGGGGATATTTAAAGGTCACCCAGTTCCAAACCATTCCATGGGCAGGGACACCTTCCCCTATCCCAGGTTGCTCCAAGCCACTCCCAACCTGACCTGGAACAATTCCAGGGATGGGAATCCACAGCTTCTTTAGGAAAACTGTTCCAGGGCCTCACCACTCTCACAGGGAAGAATTTCTTCCCAAAATCCAATTTAAATCAACCCTCCCTCAGCTTCAAATCACGGGATATTCTTGGGAATCTTTCTCAGGCAAATTCCACCTATCTCGTTTTATCCATAAAAATGCAGACAAAAAGCATTTTCTGAAGGCAACATTTTCCCTGGAATGTCTGGGATTGGATTTTCCCAGTTTTCCAGCCTCACCTGTGTGGCAGCGCCTGTGGTAGATGAGCATGTGGTTCTGGGTGAAGCGGGCCCCACACTCATCACACACAAAGGGCTTCTCCCCCGTGTGGATCCTGCAAGGAAAAAGGAATGTTGGAACTCCAGGATGAGCCTTCCCCTCATTCCCATTGATCCTTACTGCTGGATCAAAACCCACATCCAAAAATGTTATGGTAAAAGGGAATTTTTTAGGGTGAAACACAGCCAAATTCAGAAAATTCTCTCCAGGTTGTGGCACCAAATCCTTTGGGATGTGAGGGAAAGCTGGATGAGAAATCCCTACCACTGGCTGCCACCACACCCAAATTAAGGCAGCGTTGAATTTCCATTGTCCAAAATTCCTGAAAGGGCTCTGGGAATGGAAAAAAAAATCAGATTTAAACCCTCAGAGAGGATTTTTCCCTCATAAAAATGTCTCTGTCTGAAGGCAGATAAAATAAGTGATAAAATCAGGTTAAACCCCTCAGAGAAGATTTTTACTCTGATAAAATGGTCTCTATCATGAGACAAGGTAAAATGACTGATAAAATCAGGTTCAAGCCCCTCAAAGTTAATTTCTGCCCTGATAAAAACACCTTCAGAAAAATGAAACTGATAAAATCAGGCTCAACCCCTCAGGGAGGAATTTTTGCCCTGATCAAAATGTCTGCTCTGAGACACATGAAATAACTGATAAAATCAGGTTAACCCCCTCCAAGATGATTTTTGCCCTCATGAAAAAGGCTCTGCCCCGAGGCAGATTAAGAAAAGGGATAAAATTAGGTTAAACCCCTCAGAATCTACTTCTTTCCTTATCAAAATGCCCTGAGGTAGATAAAACACTGACAAAAACAGGTTAAAACCCCTCAGAGGTGAGTTTTTTCCCTGATAAAAACAGCCTGGGACAGATAAAACCCAGCGGGTTCTGGATCCGCTCCGTGTGGGTGACACTGGTGACGCGCCACCTCCTCCTGTTCCCAGATCCATTGTTTTCCCTGCTTCGCCCCCAAATCCGTCATTTTCCCATTGAAACCCTACAAAATGCTTCCCAAATATTTCCACACTTGTCTTTGTATTGAGCCTGAGGATGTGCTGGAGGAATCCCACCTGGATTTCCCTGCAGCACAGGCCTGGCCCATGCGGGATATGAGGGGAAAATAGAGACTGGGGAGGCCCTGAAAGGGAAAACAGGGATTTGGGAGGGCCCTGAGGACTGGACCCCATTTGAGGAGAAAACAGGGATTTGAGGTGCACTCTGTATGAAAACCAGTATTTGGGAGGCCCTGAGGGCTGAAACCCGCATGAAAACCAGGATTTGGGAGGCCCTGAAAGAGAAAACAGAGATTTGGGCGACCCTGAGGGCTGCACCTCACATGAAAACAGGGATCTGGGTGGCCCTGTGGGCTGAACCCTGTATCAGGAGAAACAAGAATTTGGGAGGACTTGAAAGAAAAAACACAAGGATTGGTGCACCCCACATGAAAACAGAGATTTGGCAGGCCCTGAGGACTGGACTGCATTTAAGGAAAAAAACCAGTGATTTGAAAGGCCCTGAACGAGAAAACAGCAACTGGAGAGGCTCTGAGGGCTGCACCCCACATGAAAAGAGGGATTTGGGAGACTCTGAGGGCTGCACCCCATATGAAATCTGGGATTTGGGAGGCCCTGAAAGAAAACCAGGGATTTGGGTGACCCTGAGGGCTGAACCCTGTATCAGGAGAAAGCAGGGATTTGGCAGGCCTTGAAAGAGAAACCAGGGCTTGGTGCACCCCACATGAAAACAGGGATTTGTGAGGCTCTGAGGACTGGACCGATTTGAGGAAAAAACCAGTGATCTGGAAGGCTCTGAAAGAGAAAACAGGGATTTGGGAGGCGCTGAAGACTGGACCCCATTTGAGGAGAAAACGGATTTGGAGCTGACCCCATATAAAAACCAGGATTTGGGAAGCCCCCAGGGCTGAACCCCACATGAAAACCAGGATTTGGGAGACCCTGAGGGCTGAAACCTGTATCAGGAGAAAACAGGGATTTGGGAGGGCCCTGAGGACTGGACCCCATTTGAGGAGAAAACAGGGATTTGGGAGGCCCTAAAAAAGAAAACAGAGATTTGGGAGGCCCTGAGGGCTGGACCATATTTGAGGAAAAAAATAGCAATTTGGAAGGCCCTGAAAGAGAAAACAGGGATTGGGGAAGCTCTGAGGGCTGCACCCCACACAAAAACAGAGATTTGGGAGGCCCTGAAAAAGAAAACAGGGACTGGGGAGGCTCTAAGGATTGCGTCCCACATGAAAACAGGGATTGAGAAGGCCCTGAGGACTGGACCGCATTTGAGGAGAAAACAGGGCTTGGGGAGGCCCTGAGAGAGAAAACAGGGATCTGGGAGGCCCTGAGGCCTGCACCTTACATGAAAACAGGGATCTGGGAGGCTGTGAGGTCTGCACCCCTTATCAACAGAAAACTGATTTGGGAAGCCCTGAAATAGAAAACAGGAATTTGGGAGGCTCTGAAAAAGAAAACAGAGATTTAGAAGGCCCTGAGGACTGGACCGCATTTGAGGAGAAAACAGGAATTTGGGAGGCTCTGAAAAAGAAAACGGGGATCTGGGAGGCCCTGAGGGCTGCACCTCGCGCGCGGGGGGAGCTGCTCCTACCTCATGTGCGTTTTCAGCGCCGAGGGCTGCGAGAACTTGGCCTGGCACTCGGGGCAGCCGTAGGGCTTGTGCCCCGTGTGCGTGCGCTCGTGCAGCCGCAGCGCCGTGCGGGAGCTGAGCCCCTTGCCGCACTGGTGGCACTGGTGGCGCTCGCCGCCGCCCTCGTGCACCTGCAGCACGTGCCTCTTGACGTCCTTCTTCCTCTTGAAGCGCTTGGCGCAGAGCTCGCAGGGGAAGCGGCGCTCGCTGCTGTGCACGTGCCGCTGGTGGCTGCGCAGGTTGCAGCGGTTGGCGAAGGTCTGCGCGCACGTCTCGCAGCGGAACTCCAGCGCCGAGGCGATGCCGTGGCTCTGCTGGATGTGCTTCAGGAAGCTCTTCTCGTACAGGAACTCCTTCTGGCACGTGCCGCACTTGAAGGCGCCGCCGCGCTTCTTCTTCTCCTCCTCCTCCTCCTCCTCCTCCTCGCCCTTGGCGGGGTTTTCCTGGGAGGCCGCCTCGGGTTGGCTGGAGTTCTCCTCCTGCTCCCGCTCTCCCTCCTCGCCCTTGGGCTGCTTTTCCTCCTCGGCGTTCCGCTGCTGCTCCCGCAGCCTCCGTGTGTATTTCTTCTTGGGGATCTCCACGAACACCTTCCTGCCGGCCAGCCGCCCGCTCGCCCTGCGGATCTTGGTGTAAGGAGCCTTCAGCACTTCCTTCTTTTTGTCCGCCTTCTCCTTGGCCTTGGCAGCCGGCCCCTCAGGAGACGCTCCGGAACAATCCGGAGGATCCCGCTCGGCCTTGGCCGCGGGCACAGCGCCAGGGCGGGCGGCGCTCTCCTCCTCGGAATTCTGCGACTCCGAGAAGTTCTGCAGCTCCAGCAGCACGGACTCCAGCATCTGCCTCTTCAGCTGGAAGCAAGTCTCAGAGAGATCCAGGCACTTGAGCTTCTCGGCGATCTCCAGCATGCGCTGCACCCTGTCCTCCTCCACCTCCACGCGCGCCGTGTAGACGAACTCCAGGAAGGAGGCGAAATCCGCCACGCGCACCTCGTTGAGGATCACGTTGCTGCGGGGGCCGCCCACAGGCTCCTCGTTGAGGAAAACCTCCTTGAAGAACTTGCTGGTGGCGGCCAGCACGGCCTTGTGCGCCGGGAACTCGGCACGCACGCCCTGGTACTCCACGCTGACGGTGACGTCACACAGGTGGCCCAGCAGCCGCAGCTGCTGCATCTCGTTCAGCAGGTTGATGGGGGAGGACTTGGACTCCAGCAGGACAGGGGCGCTTTCCATCTTCCTTCTCCCTGCTGAAGATATTCCTGCGTCAGCCAGCGGGATTCCGCGTGTTTGGGGCGGATGGGGTCAGGGTTTCGTGGAATCGCTGGGGTGGGGAAGAGCTCCGAGGTTGTTGAATCCAACCTGGAAGTGATCTACACCTCCTCAAGAAAACCATGGAGTGAATCTGAGCTTAAACCCCAACCCTAGTTTTCCATGAAACCCAGAACCTACCCTTTGAGACAGGGATGGAGCAAACAGAGCTGGCACCTGGAATTAAGGAACAATTCCTGGCCTCACCAGGTGATAATAAAGGAAGGCAAGATTAAGCAAAAATTCACTGCTGTCCTAAAAACCCGTCTGAAAATGCCTTCCATATAAAATTCCAAGCTCTTATGTGATGGGTAATTGTATTCACACACTGAAAATCCCCCAAATGATGGGAGTTCCTCAAAATGGACTCACAGCCTGCACATTTTGAAGGCCCATTGCCAGCCCACCCATCGGGCCCTATTTCTCAGGAATGTTTGAAGCTGCTCCAAAGCTTGTAAAAAGAGTGGAAGTTTTGGGGTGTTTTCCCAAATATCTAACCTCAGAACAAACCAGGTTTCTATGGATTTAAAGGTGCTCTGAGGAATCTTTTGAGCCTAACCCTGTTCCTACCAGAATCTGAGAAATTTCTTTCCATGTCCTGGGAATTAAGAGATGTCTCACCCAGTGCTTTATAAACAATCAGTGATACCAAAGCGCCACTTTTTTTACCCCAATAAAATTATTTTTAACTACTTCCCGTGTTATTTCACAAGTGCCCCTCTAATTCCATTTGGGCACTGTCCATTTCTCAGGAATACCTCCCCTTCCAGAGGCAAAACTGGCTGGAAAGAGACAAAAAGGGGAGTGGGGAAAGGATTCCCAGGCAGCTGCTGCTGAACTCATGGAGAGCCCCACAGCGCCCACTTCCAGCCCCATTTCCAAAGGACCCTGGATCACATGGGAATGCTGGGGTGGGGGAAAAGACGGGGGGAAAAAGGGGAGAGAAAAGGGGGGGAAACAAGGAGGGGAAGGGGGTGAGAAGAAAAGGGAAGGGAAAAGAAGGGGGAGAAAGAGGAAGGAAAAAAGGGGCAAAAAAGAGAAGGAGTGGAGGGAATAAGGGGGAAAGAGGGGAGAAAGAGAAGGCGGGTGGGGCCAGCCCGCCCTGGCCCCCGCACTCACGGCTGCCGCCCCGTTCCCAGTTTGTTCCCGGTTCACTCCCGGTCCGTTCCCGGCCGCTGCTCCCGCTCAGCCCCGGGCGCGGCCGGAAGCGCTGACGCGCCACGACCCCGGCGGAGGCGCGCCGGAAGTGACGTCACACAGCGCGCCGCGTGTTGCTAGGCAACGCGGCCTACCCCACCCCCGGCTTTGGCATTCCCAAATCCCGGCGTTTTCCCCTGGGAAATGCGGGCGAATGAAGGAGGGCCGGGCTGGGCAGCTCTGGCAGCTTTATTAAAGGAGGAACTGGTGATTTACAGCGCTGTGTTTGTATAAACACACACCCCGCCCTGCCCATTCCCAATGGGATGCTCCCACAGCTTTGGGAAAAATAAATCTCTGGACAGATGCAAACATTTCAGTGGAATAAATACCCTCATGAGGAATTACCCCTTTACCACCACCAATGCAGCTCTCAAGGCAGCTGCAGTGACCACTGGGAATGATTCCCTGCATTCCAAAGGATAACCCCCACCATTCTGCCTCCAACCACCCATTTTTGGATTTAAAGCTGACTTTATAAGTACAAAAGGGAGGGGTCAGTGTCCCCGGTGTCCTCAAGCCCAGGTGTCACATGTGCTGCTGCTGCTTTAGCACTTCCTGGTTTATAAAGTTTCCCGTGGTCAACCGTCCAAATTTCCGGCACGGGATCTCCTCCCGGATGCGCTTCCACTAAAGTCTCTATTTTGGACCAATTGTGGTCTTTTTTTTGTGTGAGGTCAATCAAGAAGCTTCTCCAGTGAGCATTCCGGTCATGGATCTGGGGAAAACAAAAGGGAGTGGGACAGGAAAACAATTAGATCTGATTTTTAACTGCCAAGTGTTTAACTAAATCCAACAATTCTGGGATAACTCCACGATCCCGCGCTCCAAGTCTCAACTCAAACACAAACAAGACTCTTTTGCCAAATCCGTGCTGAATTTCTGGGTCTGCTGCCATGGAATGCATCCAAAATCAGCTGGAATTTCAGCACACAGGCAAAATATTGACTTGGAGCTGGAAGGGAACCTCCTGTTCTGTCTGTGCTGTCACTTCCAGGACCTGGAGGTCTCTGGGAAGAGCCGAGCTCAGCGTTTTCCAGTGGTACGCTGGGAATGTGTGAATTCCTGCTAATGTGCAGCACGAGGTTGAATAAACCATGGTGTTATGGGGCTGGAATGAGGGTTAAAGCATTGGAGACTCTGCAGTTAATCCATAAAAAATCTAAAATCCTGAGTCCCTCCTCAAATGCTTTCATGGAAGCAGGAGGAAAAATCTTGGAGATGACAACCACCAGGAAGTGCTGTATCCAGTCACTCCCAAGGATGGTGACGCTTCCCCAAGGGCTGGGAGGTGACAGGATTGGCAGCCACCAGTGGGAGCTGGCGTGCTGCTGGAGCAAAATCCCACAAAGTTCAGGAGAAGACGGTGGCTTTAAGATGGTAGTTTTAAGATGGCGGCTTTAAGATGGCGGCCTCAACATGGTGGCTTTAAGATGGCGGCTCACCGTCCTAGCCTGAAACCCATCCCTAGCACAGCCCCTCCTGAGGGGTGGAAATTCCCGCTGCCAGGGTGGCTCTGGCAGGCTGGAGGTGGCACTGAGGAGGGGGAAGATGCCATGGGGGATGTCCTACCGCCACGTGCCGGCGCAGGGTGGACATGTCGGTGAAGGGCCTGTCGCAGGCGCGGCACTTGTAGGGCTTCTCGCCGGTGTGGATGCGCTGGTGGCGCCGCAGAGCTCCCTGCTGCGTGAAGGCCTTGCCACACTGCTCACAGAAATAGGGACGGGTCTCTGGGAATGACAGGGACAGCAAAGGGTTAGGGGCACTTAGGAGAGAGCAGCTGGCTCTTCCCTGGAAGTGTTCAAGGCTGGATGGAGCTTGGAGCAAGCGGGAGAGTGGAAGATGTGGAATGAGATGACCCCTAAGGTCCCTTCCAAATCCCAACCATTCCATGATAAATATTTCCCAATACCAGCCAAGGCTACTCTGTAACTCCATCCTCAACTCCAAATTCCTTCAGCTGCACAATCCAGGCCTCAGGTTTCTAGGACACCACACAACGCTCCCATGAGCCCTGCTTCCAAAGGAATTTCCATCCTTGGAGGCGTCCAAGGAATGCCTGGACGTGGTACTCAGTGCTCTGGGCTGGTGACAAAGTGGGGATTGGCCACAGCTTGGACTCCATTACATGGGAGCTCTTTTCCAAGCTCAATGATTCTGGTATCCCCTAATTCAGCAATGGGCTGGAATGTCCCCATCCACACTGGGAAGTACCACAAAGCCACCGTTCCTTTTCCCAGCCTTGGAATTACCTGCGTGGACGTTGCTGTGCTGGGCCAGGGAGGCTCTGAGTCCGAAGGCTTTCCCACACACCTCACACCTGTAGGGTTTGGCTCCCAGGTGACAGCGCTTGTGGCACTTGAGGTACTCGTTGGTGGCAAAGTGCTTCCCGCACACATCACACCTGAAGAGCCGCTCTCCTGAGGGAAGAGAAAATGGACATTGGGAACTCTCCCAGGGGAATTCTGTCCTTCAGAGCCAGTCTGCAAATCACAGAATTCAGGCTGGAAAAACCTCCAAGATCATCGAGTCCAACCAGTGCCACATCCAGCTGTCCCCTGAGCACATCCAGGCATGGGGACTCCATCCCATTCCATTGCCTGATAACCCCTTTCCATGAAGGAATTCTTCCTGATATCCAACCCTAACCTCCCCTGGCACCACTTGAGGACATTCCTCACATCCTATCACTTGTTCTTTGGGAGTAGAGCCAAATTCCCCTGGCTCCCATCAGGGAATTGTGGAAAGCAGCAAAATCCCTCCAGAGTCTCCTTTTTTCCAGGCTAAAAGTCCTTCTATCCTTATTAATTCCTTCCTGGTACTCAGATACTCTTCCATGAGTTAAAAAAAAAAAAAAAAAAAGGGGAAAAAAAAGGGGGCATTTATTTCATGTCTCACCAATAAAACAGGAAAAGGCATGGGAAAACCACCTGGGATATTGAATTCCCACCTGTGTGTGTCCTTTTGTGGCCAGTGAGTTTTCCTTTGTCAGCAAAGGAAGCGCCGCAGTCCTCACAAATGTAGGGCTTCTCCCCAGTGTGGGATCTAATGGAGAGAAAACACCAAAGATCAGTAATTAACTAGGTCTTGATCCCTAAAATACTGGATTGGAAAGGATGCTTGGGTTTTAAATGTAGTGGGAAAAGGAAATTCTGCTCCCTCAGAAAACTGTTTCCAGGTACAGGTGCTACACTCCAGGAGTAAAACTCCCATTTAAAATTTACCTTTTAAAATTCAAAATTCCCATTTAAAATTTACCTTTTCATCGCTTTCAGGCCCTAAAAAATCCATCTTTTTTTCGCAGACAGCTCAGAGCATGGGAAAGGAGAATAAAGAGAAAATAACAGAAAATGACAAAGAATCAGAAAAATCTGAGCGTAATCTTAACTTATTCCAACCCAAACAGGATGATGTCCAAAATCATTCCTGATTTTGAGCTGTCAGGACAAAAGATTATCATCAATCTTGCTCTGGAGAAAGATGGGAAATTCCATGGGATGATTCACCCTCTCCTGGGAAAGGGCACATCCACACAAGACACCACCAGGGAACAACTCATCCCGTCAAGCTCCAGCTGAGCAGCGCAGATTTGGAGTTGCACATGGAGATGAAATCCCATGGCAATTCCTTGCTCTGAGGGCGAGCACTGCTCAGGGTCTGTTTCTCCAGGATCCCTGACTCACTCTTCATCACTGAGGGCCATTGTGGGATTTTAGAGCCTGTCCCAAATGACGGATATTCCGTGCAAGTTTGGACAGGGTATCCATGTCGAAATCCCGACCCTGAGAGATGCAACGTGGAGCCAAAGCCTTTGCGTAAGGGAATTAATCACGGACCCCACTGAACCCCATATCCCGGCATATAAGGCGCAAGGAATGTGCATGGCTGGAATGTGACCTGGTATGGATCTTGAGCTGGGAGGGCTGAGCAAACCGGGAGTGACACACGCCACACTCGTAGGGCTTCTCTCCGGTGTGCGTGCGCATGTGGAACACCAGCGCCGTGCGGGAGCTCAGCATCTTGCCGCACACGGAGCACAGCGGCCGCTTGGCCCTGCCCTCGTGCTTCCGCATGGAGTGAGTCCTCACATCCCGCTTCCTCTTGAAGGTGGCCTGGCAGAGGCTGCAGGAGAACCTCCTCTCGTCGCTGTGCACGCAGGCGCGGTGCTCCTTCCAGCTGGTGCAGCTGGCGAAGGCCTTGCTGCACACCTCGCAGCGGTACACCTTGCCGGGCAGGCTCTGGTGCGCCTCCCGGCAGTGATCCACGTATTTCTTCCGCGAGACAAACTGCTCCTGGCACTTGTCGCACTGGATCACGTAGATGGATTTCTTGCTGGCCACGCTTTTACTGGCCTTTAGTTTAAATCCCTGTTCGGGTTCTTTGCTGACCTTCTCTGTTGAGGCTTCGTCCTCATTTTCCACCTCAGAACATTCCTCATTGTCTCTGCTTCCTTCAACTTCTGAGTATCCTGTGTTATAGTGTCCCTGCTCCTCACCCTTCACACTCATCCCACCTTCATTTTCATTCCCTCCTTCAGCTTCCTGGGATTCCTCCTGCTCCTTGCTCCTTTCTGCTTCAGCAACAGATGGATTCCCGGCATCTTCCTCACACCCTGAGGTTTCTGGTGTCCCACCCCAAGTCTCTCCACTGGGATCTTTGTCACAGCTCGTGGGGTTTGGGCCATGTGTGGGTGGAACCACCATCCAGTAGACAGGCAGGAGTTTCCTCTCTTGCCCAGACTCATGGATTTTCCTGTTAAAAATGGAGGACAACTTCCATTAGGTTTAATTGAAACTTATTAATTGTTTAATTGTATCAATTCAGGCCTTGGGGGAAAAGTCCTTTCCTTTGAATTGTTCCTTGCACCATTTAAGAAATTCCCAGTGTGTTTGGAAAGCCTGAAAATAGGGAGATTTTGCGAAGAATTGGACCAGATAATTAAAGAAAATTAAAATGCCTCAGTTCAAATTAAAATGCCTCAGTTCATTAAGATCTGTATTTTTCACTGACCAGGAATGTAGGATGTACTTTTCCTC